ACGCCATATCTTCAAGCTAAATTGCATCAAAAATCCATTATATTCCATTATAATTGATTATAAACCAATTTGTTTGTCCATTTTGTCTTCGAAGTTGCACCTAAATTGCTTATATTTAATGCTTTTTGTAGACGTTGGTTCCTATGAAAAAAGAGAAAAATGTTTTTAAAGTTTTCCAATCAATTCAAATTTATAAGGTTTTTGATTCATTTCTTCCGCATTAGAGTTGTTTTGTGATTAATATTTTTAGCTTTTTTAACCATCAAAAGATCAGCAAAATGATTTAGTTTAATGGTTGATTCTGAAGATTTATTTTTCCTCTACCGCGGGAACTTTTCCACTAATATGAAAGAATATCTAGGAAACTTTTTCGTTTCGTGGTACAACTTTGCGTTCAGATGAACCAAAATGTTCAAGAGATCTCTCTTTTAGAGATTTTCTTATTGACACAAAAATAATAACCCATAAGATATAATTTGAATATAGTTTTGAATTGACAAAATTTTGGCAAAATAAGAGATTATAATCGATTATAATCGATTATGATTGATTTTAAGTGGTTTTTTAAGAACTATAATCAATAATAATCGTTTATAAGAGATTTTAATCTCTTGGAAAATAAAACGATTATAAGTATATATTAATCCTTTAAACACCTAACTTTGGTAAATATAATCAATTATAAGTGTCAAAAAATCATCATAATAATCCGTTATAACCGATTACTTACGCCTAAACTTGGATGCGGTCAAGTTATGATCATCCACCCCATAAAACAATTTGTATTAAATCTGATAAGCGCTGCATGTACACATCTGCAAGCGCTGATTGGCTGAAAACTCCTAACTTAGAACCAAGTTAAAATCCTCCCCTCAAAAGTCTTATGGGGGGGGGGGCTCCTTACTTGGTTCTTTTCGAAATAGAAGCGGATCTACATAACAATCGCCCCCTCCGCATTATGGATTCAACTAAAGAATTGCCACCCCTATAAATAAAAACAAGTCCGATGCGAACATTCCCGCCAACCAAACAAAAGATGTTAACAGTTAATTGGACAACTAGCCAATTTTGACTGAATTTATTAGAGCCTTCGAAAGGTACTGTTGTCATGAGCTCAAAATTAAAAAGAGAAGATGTTATTGTGATCATTTTTCGTAAAGTGATGGGGGTCTAAAGATTTCCCATTTAGCCAGTTTGGGACTTTGCTCTATTCACGGGTAGTAAAAGCGGTCAAATATATACTCGGCTTAATTTAAGTCTAATTTTATCAAAAAAAACTGCATTTTGTTTGATTGGAAAATAGCATTGTTCAATTTGCGAAAAATAGAAATAGCCAAGTGAATGAAAACACCTTTTATAGATGGCTTAAAGTTTCTGTAGAACAACTAGTCCGAAAGCAGTAGTGCGTTGTGTTTAAAATTCGAATTCAGCTGCATTCTGATTGGTCGAAAGTTCGACTAACTTTATGTACTTAACAATTATCAGGAAGCAGGTTCGGCATAAATCTGAGGCGCATTATCCCGCATAAATACCGCATATTAAGCCTAAAATTTCACATCGCAGAATGCCGCAGAAATTCCGCATAATTGAAGTAGTTTCGTGAGACAAATTTCCGAAAAGTTAAATTTTTTGTCGACAACTTTTGATGAGGAATTTTTGATTTCAAATAAAAAATTCGACGTTTGAAAAGCTCAATTACTTAAAACTACCCTTCTAATGAAATGAAAAAATTTTCGAGTTCAGTTGTGTTAAGAGGGTCCAGCATAAAATTAATTTTGGCAAAAATATTATCCTTTCGCATTTTTTACCGAAGATTTTAAAATTTTTCTGCAGAAAGGCCCACATAGATAGTAAAAATTTCCCGCAGTCCTCGTCTCATAATTTAACTACTGATGCCCGTAGACTTTTACCGAGCCTGTCTGGAAGGTGGTATTGTTGAGTAGCTCCCTAGAAATTCTTTGCCATCTATAAAAGGTCTTCGTAGTCAAAAAGCAAAATTTTTAATTTAGATGACGAATTTTTAAATGTATTGCTTATTACCTGTTATGAGATTCTTGAAATTAAACATGTTGTTTTAATTTCAAAACCAAAAAATATATTCATAGGTTTGTTAATAAAAAATTCTTTCCATACTTTAGGAAACTGCTTGTCATACATATCCATAGTATGTGAATACGCTCATTATGCCATTGTTATACAAGTTGTTTTTTCTAAGCAATTTATTGAAAAAAAAAAACAATTTTCCGTAGTATGGAAGTCTGTGATAAATATGACCATTCAGTTGGACGCATAATTCTGAAAAACAATTCAGCTGGAAGTATATTTAAAAAAAAACAACCTATAAAAGTCGGCTTGGGTCTTAAGCATTAAACGGCCCAAAATCAGTTTTTCTATATCTTGAACTGAAATTGTTATTGCTTAAAATGATTGGCTAATTGGCCAATCATATTCAAACAGCATGGCCCGGCATTTCAAATAAACAATCCACGCAGATACAATTATTAGCAGAATTGATCAAAAATATAGATGTATTCCGTTGAAGTCATTTTTCTTGTCTGGGCATAGTTTCACAAATGGCCAAAAATGTTTTTGATTATTTAATCAAGTTCATTATGGCGGTTTCAGCTAATAATGTTATCTGCTGAAACGGTGATTAAAATGCCTGGCCGCCTTGCTTGTATTTGATTGGTTAAAATTAGCCAATCAGGTTGGAGCGCAAAAATTTCAGCTCAAGATATAGCAATATTGATTTTGGGCCGTTTAGTGCATAAGACCCGTCGGCTTTTCAGAGACAGTAGAATTACAATCAAGTTTAACTTTATCTAGTTGTGTTTGTTGCGTTGAGACATTAAACGCCTTTTCTATACTGCTTTGTGATGCAAAATTTTGGCAAAAAATATAATATAAACGTTAGATTATTGAAGATGCAAAGCTCAATTCATTTACATTTTACATAATCTGTGTATTTGTATGTATTTATTTTTCGAATAATTGTTATAATAGTTGCAAAGTAGGATCATGTTAACTAACCCCCCCCCCCCCCCCCTAGTACCTGGTACCTTGATTGCTCAACTGGATATGTTTTGTATTTCTCAGAAATGTGTTCTGTCGCATTCCTATTGGTTGACGTTATTTCCATTCGCATTCCCATTGTTTGACGTTATTTAAATAAATTTCATCCAAACCTTGTTAAGTTTTTCCCCCTATTGGGGAAAGAAATTTACTTTGTTCCTAAATCGGCATCGGACATAACAAATAAAACTTGAAATTTGAAAGTATTTTTTTTCTACTTGAAAAAAAATTTAAAAACAAATTATGTTTAAAATTTGAACAATCAATATGAAGCAAAAAATTTTACATTGTATGAAAAAATTTTCACAACGAAAATTTAGTTTTTTTTTCAGCATAAAACTACACCATAGCTTATATTTCAATTGCTAACAAATTGTACTAAAGTGAACAGGGGTGGAATTTTTAGAGGGAAGAGCGGATTTTCTAAAAATGTTCAAAATTTGGTCGACCTTGTTCTTTTTTTCTAGATCGACCAAATTAATATTTCTAGCGCTTCCAGCACAGTATAAACTCTCTTTTTTGACATCATTGTTTGAGCCGCAGGCAAATTATTGACAAACAAGTTAAAAAACTCTATTCTCTATTTTGTGCAATTTTTTGAAAGTTTTTGACCAAAATATTGCGTTTTTTTTTGGGCGCTTGCCTTCAAAGTTAATATTTTTTGGCGCCCAAGGCGCCTTTCAGTTAAAATCAAGGATTGAACAGCCCAAAAAGTATTTCATAAAGTGGTAGAACCTTTGGTTGGTGAAGAGGTCAAATCCCTGGGGGAGGCGTTCACACCCCCCTTTATTGCGCTCTGAAAAGTTTCAAAAGGATAGAAGTTACAAAAAATTGGTTGAGGCCCAAAAAAACCTAACCATTTGAAATTAAAAGATTATACTCTTAACACTTGGTTGTAGGAGTAAAGTTTATGGCAAAACTAATTGCACCCTATTAATTCTGCTAAAATGCGGAGCAAGTTTTACAAATAGTTTTTTGCCAAAAACCAACCCAATTTGAGAAAAAACTCGTTTTGATTTTCAAGTTTTATTTACATAATCCAAGAGCGAATGATCAGCGCTACCCTCTATGAAACTATCAATATTTGGTGTTAATGTTTTCAAAATATGAAACGTCCGCGTTTAGTAAAGCTTTTACACGGATGCTTTCTCTTTTGTGCAGATGTGGGAAACTGTCATTATTAGACCTGGAAAAAATTGGCAACTCTTTGAAACCAAGTTTTGATGGTTTCAAAGAGGATAGCTCTGATTGTTTTCTTTTGGTCTATGTGAAATTTTTTACGGAATTTCGAAAGAAAATTTGTCCAAAATGGACATTGAAAACCGGCAATTAAGACAGTTAAACCCTGAATTTGCGTTTAGTTTTGTCCATTAGTGTATAATGTTTTTGGCTCTTTTCCAGTTTACCTCCACCTCGTAAAACTATCAAAAAAAAGTAGTCAAAATTTTGCATGAAAGAAAAGTTTATACAATTTTTTCACCTGTTCACGCTGACAGGTTATGATGCAGTTTATAGCTTGAAAAGTAATTTAAATTAGACTTTCATATTCTGAATTTCAGAAAAAAACCACGGGAGAAACTAGAAAAGAGCCGTTTTTTATGTTCTGTTTTGCAAAGAAGCTTGTGAGCGTGAACAAGTGAACAATTGTTTGAAACAATTGTTACATGCTAATTGCCGTATGAACAACTTTTCAACAAGTTAGTTTTTTTTTTAATTTTATGAGGGTATCGAAGACTGGAAATTTTTTTCGTTTTGTCCTTGAGAAATAAATCAGAACTGTAGTTCAGACACTTTAAATGGCTGTCAGAACATTCAAGTCCTCGCTCTGATTTGAGCACGCTTTTCTTTTGTAACAAAAAATAATAAAGTATTTAAAATTTTGAATCAAAAGAGCCCAAAGATCAATCAGTTTAATTTAGTTTGTGTTGTCATTGCTGTTGTCTAGTAGGAGTTTGAGAGGCTGTCCTGTGAGTGCTTGTTCCGTGAGCCGGGCTTCTTGCAGGCGCTGGACTGCGTTGCTGCGGCGCCGGACTGCGCCCCGGAGAAACTGTAACTCTTCCCATACTCGGTGAAGGGGCGTTATTCTGACTGACAACTGTCGACTTCGAGAGATCCGGGGTTCTCGAACGATCCGGCGATCTGTTAGGAGTTCGAGTCCTGACGCTTCCTGGAATAGCTTCTTCAGTTGCCGGAATCAGTTCCCGATCACGTGGTACTCTGAGACCAGCAGGGGGTATTCTTGCACCAGGTCTCGAGGCGTGAGCTCCAGGTGGTGGTGGGTTTGGTTTCCGGAACGGAGCTGTGTAAACTTTCTGGTGGGCCGGTATATCTGGCATTATTTTTATAATTTCAGGTTCTGCGAAAACATATTTTAAATTCACTCATGTTTCTAGGAGTTCTGTTTCTTTTAAACTATGGCAAGATTACTTCCCTCTTTTTATTATCGATCGCTATAACCTTTCAAATTATTGAGAATCTGTGATGCAAATTAGCTCTTTTCCAGTTTCCCGCCCCTCCTCCCTGTGTTTGTATATAAGAAGCTTTTACACTTGTTTACGCCGTTATTTTTGCAGCTTGGAACACCAAACTTCATTTTAAGGCTTTCGTAAAACCGAAATTTAGAAAAATCAAGGGGACTGGATAAAACCAACATAACAAAATGTCAGTTTGGGTACCTTTTGCTACAAAAATCAGATTTAATAACAAAGTAGGTTGATTGCGTTTGACTTAATATGAAACGTAGCAAAAGGTACCAATGTTTGTTCATTTGTAAGCTCCTACAGCTGTATAAACTGAAAATTTAATTGTTGATTAAAATAAATTCACTAGTTTTTGCAGTGGTTCAGTAAGCAATAAGTCGAGTATTTCTTTGTCGCTCAGTCGTCACAGCGGCAATTTTCTGAAGCGAGTAAGTAGCTTGTTATTATCGTCTCGGTGACCTCGGTGACCTCGTTCTTGGTGACCTTGACTTGTGTGACCTGTTCCGTGACCTTCCACCACGTGGTGACTTACCCCTCGGAGATCGACCTCTGGGTGACCTTCTGGGGCTTCTGGGAGATCGGGATCTTGGCCGGGGTCGGCGGGGTACATTCGGAATGGCCTGATCTGTCGCCGCAATCAGTTCGGGGTCGTGGGGGGAGCGGATTGGAGGGGTGTTTATTCCACTCGGTAAGCCGGCAGCCGGCGGTGGTGGGGGCGCATCACCCATTGTTTACAAGTTATTTTCTGGCTTATTTGTTTTTGTTAACCTGTAACAACAACAAACATTGGTACGTTTTGCTTGCATTTCACAGCAAAAAAATTATAGGGATTGAAATGGAAAGTTTAGAAGGAAAAATGAGAAAGACATTACAATAGACTTACGATTTAGTTTTCAAAGAATATTAATTAGTTTGTTGCGTCTTAAACCTGCAGTCAAAAGTCACAGAGTGAACAAATTCATGGAAAAAATCATGGAAAAAATTTACCAAAAAAAAACACTCGTGCTTTTTTGTCGAGCCTCGGCGAAGATCAAAACAATTCAGTAGGTCTTAAGAGAAGGTTGCTCACGGGCTAACCTCTGTGAATCCTTCGTACAAAGTTGCACCATAAAGAAAGATAAATTGGCTCTTTTTCCTTTTCCCCCCACCTCACATAAGCGTCAATTTTATGATGTAACGAGGGGTTTTACAAGGTTAATTATGAAGACCAAAAATGTTTGTCATGGCCTAATTAGTTCGCATGCCAATTTTTGTAAGATTCGGATAAAGTGAACAAAACTTCACTAGTAAAATTTTGCAGGTGGGGGGGGGGGGGGGGGGGAAGGAAAAAGAGCCGATAAATTGAATTTGAAGTGGGTACCTGTACATATCAACCTAAACAATTCGGTTAATTCTCCTTTAAAAAATTCAATTAGGTTAAGAATGCATCATGCCTCTTTTTTCATTTATTCCCACCTGCGAATTTATATTGAAAAAGTTTTGTTCCGATTGGCCGATGGTTATGAAAAGTTACATGCAAACTAATTTAGAGATAAAAGACGTATATGATCCGGCTCTTTTTCCTTTTCCCCCCCACCTGCAAATTTGGCTCTTTTCCAGTTTCCCCCCACCTTTCAAATTCAATTTTGAAAAGCTTATTTAACGTTGTCATAATGCAATGAAATTTGGCGTGGTGAACAAATCGACAATTCTGAACAGATTTGTTCTTCATACTTAACAGCGTAACATCACGCATTTAGCCGTAATAACACGTAAAACAAACATAAAACTCGGTTCGGTAATTTGAAAGGGGGGGGGGGAACTGGAAAAGAGCCGCAAATTTTTATATTTGAAGTTTCTGTTCACTTTGTCCAATAGTCATGAAAATTGACATACAGACTGATTAGGCCATGACAAACATATTTGGTCTTCATAATTAACCTTGTAAAACCATTCGTTAGACCATAAATTTCATGTTTGAGTGAGGTGGGGGGGGGGGGGAAGGAAAAAGAGCCTATGATCCTTATACGTAACCGTGTAAAACCACTCATTACACCATAAAATTGATGCCAATGCGAAATGGGGAGGGTGAAGCAAAGTTGCGACAAAAATGCGCAAAGTTGATCAACTTCTCAAATGTTTCATCTCGCGTATTTTAGATTAGAAGCGTTTGGCACAATCATTATGGAACCTGATCTAACTACATTTTATGATTGGATAAATTAGATATTTTACCAATGTAAAGTATTTAATATTAACCAATCATGATCCATCTGACTAACAATCCACTTATTTGTAAGTGCTGAAATTACTTGTAATTTCAGCACCAGAGAGATTTGAATTTAACTTAGAAATTAGTTGACTCTCCAAGAAGACTTCAGCAACCGCAATAAACCAGTATACCCTAGATCTATTGAGCCTAGCAGAGACTAGTCAAACAACCTGAGACTAGATAGTATAAGAGTAAGATTAGGATTGGTATTAGACTAAGAAGTTGCACGAATCTATCCGGCCGAAAATAAGATAGCGTGACGAGCAGACGGTGTACCCTATCCGAAATTACTCTATGAGTTATACACTTCGGTCCTAACTCATCTGGTGCGACCATAAGTCTCGAACAAGACCTTAATAGCTTAGAATTAACCAAAAATAGATTAGAATTTAGACAAAACATTTTTAAAATGTTACACGACGATAATTTAATCGAAATGTCTCTACGACTCAATAGATCAAAGCCAATATTCCGAACGATAAGAGAACTACCCGGAATTGCAAGAAGACCTCGAACCAGAGACGACATACGACAAAGTAGAAACTTACCATATAGTTATATGATAGTTCGGCAAAAGCCAACACAAACTTTTGTATTTAGAATACTACTAGCCATGAATTTAGATTTTCATTTGCAAACATAAAATCTTGAAGTCAATCTTCAAAATCATTTCAGGCGCTAAACCAAATTATTAATATACAATAACGATTGATAAAGAGATCTCAGATCGTTTTCCTAAATTCTGCAGTAATATACAAAACATGTTTGAAAAATATTTATTGAAAAATCAAAATAAAAATTAGTAGCATGACAATAAATGGTTAGTAATCATAATTCATCCTGTTGTTCCAGCTTCATCACCTAAACATAACAGCATTCATAAACTCACTAATATCATAAAAACACTAAATCTTTTCTCTACACAAATTTAAATCATTTTAAACTTAAATTCACTTAAATTAAAAATCAGATCATCAAGGCTCATCCTTGGATCTTAAATCATTTTCTATTTAATTAAATTTAAAACTTGATCATCAAGGCCTATCATTGGATCAAAAAGAACAATTTTGTTCTCCCCCACCCACTTAGCAAGTGTCTAACGACCTCAAACGTCGATTCACTATCCAACCCTTCCAAAAGACCCAAGATTAACAGAAATTTTTGAACAAAACTAATCATTCAAATTAGGATAAACAGTGAAGAACTTCGGTTATTCATCCTTCACTTGATCCCCCCTCTTACCAGACCCAGGATAAATCTTAGACTTAGTAAGTTTAAAATAGTATCTAACGAACTACTCGCGTTCTAATTATACCTGAACCTTGTGGATCGATTTACTATTCTCCAACCCTGAACACAATCACTACCCTTAAGTAAGATTAAGTAAGTTAACACCTTAGCTTATACTAGCCACGAGAAAGTATAAAATCATTCTTCGGAATCGATATACTTTTCTCCCCAACCCTGAACATATAGACCCAGGTTAGGCTAACCAAAAAATCGTAAGGACTAACAGTCTAAGAAAATAGAAATCATTTAACAACCTTTTGCATCCGTCATCCTAAACCTTATGTCATTTAAAAACCTAGGAAATAAACAAACAATCGTTTTACACAATTGTGAAATAGATAACAAAAAATACGATCTTGTAATCACACCACACACACAAACAGTTGGATATATCAGAACAAAACGACAAACACTAAAAAGAAAAATAATAACCAAACAAAGACAAATTACACGAAAAAGATTTTCCAAAAACCGCAACGCATTTTCAGAATCAGAAACCAGCAGTTTAGACGAACTTTATAAATTAAAAGAATCTATAGATAAAAATGGCCCCATTCACGATCAATTATATTTTTCCGACTCAGAAACAACTTCAAATTCATCAAAAAGAGGAAAAAGAAGAATAAAAAAGCAATATAAACACAAACCAGTACATTTATACAATTGGAATCAACCAATTAGACACATTGATAATTACATATTAACAGTCATCAAACGAAAAAATGAGCTCAACACACACCCCAGGTGAAGAAAGTTCAGATGATGATGATATCTTCCCCTTTATCGTAGATGCAACCACTGATAGAGGACAGCATATATTTTGCAAAAATTTACTCTTAAATTTGTTTGAACCCGGAATCAGTCCATGTAAAACAGAGTTCCCAGATGTAAAAATCAAAAGACAAATTATCGATCACTATTTGAAAGATATATGCAACTTAACACAACAATACGGAATCTACTCCATAGAATTCAGCTCACCAAACCAGAATCACAGCAAATATGTAATTCAAACAGACGACCTTGATTTAGAATTCTCAAAAGTATTCTCAGAATATATAAAAAGCATACAATATCATAACTCACAAAGAGCAAACTCCATATTCACCAATGAAGTTTTTGCAATAATATATAGTTATATCTCGATATTAGAAAACGAAATCCCAATCCCAAATGTCTCACCGACAGAAACATCTAAACATATAAGAGTACGACATGAAATCACACTACTCTCTAGTTTTCTAAATATAATTCAAGAAAATTTCACTAAAGATGAAGTTTCACCACATACAAAACATGACTTACAAAAAATTTTGGCATGGTTTATAATAGATTATTTCACACATAATATTGATTTAATTTCACAAGCAAGAAAAAATTTTAGACCTCAAAACTCAAACGATGATAATGCCATCACAGAACAGTCAGACTATGTTTGGGACCCCGAATGGTCTCATTCCGCATTCATAAACTTCCCACAATCAATCTCAAGTCAAGCAATAAGTACGATATCTTATGTAAGAGATTACGTAAGAGTAATACCATTAACCATTGATGCAACACCATTAAACTATAATACATTTTTACCTGATATGCAAAATAATAGTTTAAACTCCACAGTCATACACAATGAAAACCTCAATGGAACTAGAAATCTCACTCAACAAGATATCCAGACACCATCACACTTCATAAATGAAGAAATCGTACACACAACAACTACACAACAAAGCATTTCACCGATACGTCCAAATTTAACAACACCAAGAAATACAAACCCTTCACAAACACAGGTAACCTTACAATCAACCGTTAAACCTTCGGTTGCCCCAAAATATTCACACATGGATTATCAAACATACAGACCCATGACAATACCGTCAAAAACACGTAAAACGTTCACTAGAAACAATTTTACAGAACATAATTATAATTACACACATCCATCAAAAACAAATTATCCCCCACGAAAAAATTTTAATAATTATACAAGATCTCGAAACTGGGATAACCCAATGGCTCAAACTAATTCAGTAAATTTTCAAACAAATTTACATCCTTCACAGGATCGTAGTGAAAACTATCCATTTTTTCAACAAAATAAAAATAAAAAACAAACATCTTATCAAATGGATTACTTATCCTCAGATGATGATTTTTTACAACCAGATATATTTGCACCATATA